ATCCCCCCCCCCCCCACTGGGGGTGTAATAGTGCAAAAAAATAATGCAATGAGAAAATGGCAAGGGCTCTCACCCGGTGAACCGCCTGAGATAGACAACGAAACTAGACTCTACGGGAAGAAGGTTATGCGGTGTGGTGAAATAGGTAGGGGTTGCTTAAGTGCTGGATGTGGGTCAGACAGCTACCAATGCACAGAAACACGCCCGCATAGAACTGACCTTGCGTGCGCGTTAGAGAATCACGTGAGCCAGTAAGAAAGTACTCGCCTCGCTGTTGCACGACAACGCAGGAACTCATGTTGCGAAAACCGACCAACAGCGAGGCGAGGAACGAGGCTTAGAGGTCCTGCCTCATGCGCCATATATCCCAAGAATTGCACCGTAGACTACCACTTATTCAGGTCAAAGCGGCACCCGTAGAAGGAAAAGAATTAAAACTTTTCAACGTCAAATTTTGTGCGTCCGGCTTTTTCGAGTCACAGTTTTTCGTTTATCCAATTTCGTAGGTTTCCAAAAAGGGCACACTTTAAGAAGTGGAAGGAGAGATGTCATTTACAGAGATGAAGTATATTTCGAATTAATATAGTTCGCTGATCTTTTTTACATTCAAAATGAATGGCTAACAAAACGACATTTCATATTGGTCAATATATATGTTGCAGAAATAATTGTGCTTAAACACTACTTTCCTGCAAGAGAGCAAATTCAAGAAGCAGTGAGAACTAACAGCAGACTGATGTCTTTCCTTCAGCTGAGCAATCTTCCTAGCGCTTTTCAAATCGTGTTCTTCAAGAGCTTTTTTAATTCGCATGATCTCCTGTTCATCGAAGCCCCTCACCTTTTCGCTCATTTCGGCAGCTGTCATTGTCTGAAACTTCGTGAATGCATTCAGAAAAAGAATGTTCGAACATACCATGAATAGTGAAATCTGTCTAACTTGCATGCTAATGCGAAGACTCTCCTTGAACATATGGCTTCGAGTTTTGGCTTCGTTTCGTAACATTTTTGGAAGTTTTTTCCGATCCAAAGCAAGTGCGCGAACAAGCTCAGCTTCTTCCTCCTAGAATCAAGTTCCGGAAACCATGCACAATAGTGACGACCAGGGCGGGACAGTAGGCCATCATTTTCATTTGGCCTGAGCGTTTTGCCCTCTCTCGGACGCTTATTTCAAAATTGCTTTCTTTATTTGCTGTAAGATTGGGTGAAGGGATTTATAAGGTTCTTACTCCTCGCGCCATCTTTCACTAAATCACGGCCTTAAAGCCTGCCTATTTTCACACGATTTGTTACATGGGTACTGCTGTCACGCGGCAACACTATACACGTGGACCTCATGACTCCTAGAACAGACGCGTTTCCGGAAACCCCGCTTTTGCCCACCGAAATAACGCATGAAAACGATCGAGGGATCAAGCTGATTAGCTCATATCTGAAGCAAAAATTGGTAGTTACCGAAATCAGTTGATCGCATCACCACTTGGACTCCGCACTCACGCGTGCGTCACAACAGAGAACACATCGAACCGATAAAGATTTTTTGAGCTGGGTTCCACCCGTCGAGAATCTAGCTATAGGCTGTTGTCGGCTATGAATTGATGCGAAAGGTTCGGAAAAGCTTAGCTCACCGTGAACGAGTCTCTTAGTTTGATTTGTTGATCTGTACCTGGTCTTTGCCCATTTTCCGGTGTCTGGAATTTTGGAGCAAATTTGTGAAGTTTTTTCATTCCACCGCCGATTATGATGAACGTTCTTCAGCCCCTGGGTTCCTCTAAGCTCATATGTGCTCCGTCCACCCCGCGACGCAGCCATCCCAAAGTCGACCCAACGTCTTTAGGAACTTTGGGACAGGTAGAAAAAACGAGTTCGTTGCATACAGTAAATGATGACGATAGTTTCAAAGGTGAAAACTGATGATCTTGCCTACATACATGTGTAAATTGATTTTGGAGCGCTAATGACGTCTCCGTAGTTTTGTAAATTTGATCATAGCCCAGCCCGTCTTAGGGCAAGCCCCGTCCGCTTCGGTGGGATTTCACAATATGCAGCCTCTACGCACTTTTTTGGGTTATAGAACGTCTTTGAGCAGAGCTATAGGTGCGTGATGATCGCTCCCTCCATTCACTGCAAGCGTGGAAGTTTAATCACCGTTCCTTCAAAAGCCTCTCGCCACTTTTCTCGCATTCTAGAGCGTCGTTGAACAGAGTTCCTGATCTTAGCTTCCTCACCTGATAAAAGCCCCGTTTACTTTGAAAAAACGGCCTTATTCCTTCTACAGCCCATTGCTATCTTCCGTGTTTTAGAACATTTTAATACAAGCAGCAAATTCTTGACCTTAGCTCCGCCCATTTCAAGCCTTTGAGCATATTTCTTCAATAGCCTCTAACCAGTTCTTTAACGAGTTCTATACCGTTTTTGAACGGAGTTATGAATTGATGATTATAGCCCCTCTCAACTTGTGCAAACTCCGCCTATTTCGAGGGTATGACCACATTTCTTCTATTACCTTTAATCACTTTTTCCGAGTTTTGCAGAGTTATGAACTTCGACCCGAGCCTACTTTCGTTTTGAACGCGTGCCCCGCCCATAGTGGGCAGGGTTTTGTTGGGTTTGTAGCACGCAGCCCTGCTCATTTCTCTTATGACTGTTTTTAGCCTCCATGCCTTCCTTGAATCGTGTTAGGAACATATGGGATTAGCAAACTCACGTTGAAGTTTTTGAAAGCAAGACTCAGAAACGGCCGGGAAGAAATGGAGGTTATCTGCGTGCGACATACGATGGATTCGAGAACAGACTCTGGGTCTTTATTCCTGCTAATGGGGGGTATTTCGAAAGGTGATTGTAGCTTGTTGTTGCACATAATGTAAGCAACACGGTGCAAATTTCATTGCCATTCCCAGCTTCGAGCTTGAAATACATTGCAATAAATAGGCGCCCACCACTCTGAAACATCTGTGATTCTTGAAAAGTAGCTTCCATTTGAACGCACGCCTCGCCCATCGTGGGCGTAGTCTCGCTAATTCTATGCGTGCCCGGCGCGCACAAGGCATTGCTCGTTCCTTTTACTTTCTTTCCTGGCCTCTACGTCTTCGTTGAATCGAGTGTTGAATCCATGTGGAGATTACCGCCCACTGCAAGAATGCTCCGCTCGCAGCTGGTCCATTTCCTTCATTCCATTTGTTGACCCATCCCTCACCTTTGCTCCTTTGTTTCTCGGCGTTCGAACTGTAGTGGGACCAAAGAGGTACTTTTGCCCATAGCACTGCCCAACTCCGGTGTTTTCCGCCCCCTCGGGGCTCTGCTAAGCTTACGTGTGCTTTATTGTTGTTACCCTATGCTCAACCATTCCAAACATGACCCGACTTCCCGATGTGCTTCTTCAGGTAATATCAAATTTCGGGACAGACTCGAACGGTAGACTTCCAGATAGTAATAAGTGCCACGTATCCAATACCTGAGAACCCAAACATATCAGTGATAATAACACAAATGTACCTGGTTGAATTTCTGAACTTGTGCCAACTCTTTTTGATGTCTAGCTAGCATTTGTGTCCGTAGCAGAAAGTACTCATCCTTGAATAGCTTTCGGTGTAATGCATACCTACCAAATAGGAAGCTTTCATAAAATTCTTGAGGAAATCAAAACAGAATTCAATATGAAAACAATATCTAGCACTCACTTTTCCCCCATTTGTTTCTCCTCCAATTCCCAGTTACTATTCTCCTTAGCTCTCAACAAGAGATGTTTTTGCAACAAGAACTGACGTTCAAGAGTAGCCATTTTCTCATAAAACAGAATATGTATGATCATCTTCGACAGAAAAATTGAAGAGCTTAACTGACAACCTTGTGCTTTTGCGTTAACCTAGCTAGTGTACTTTCGGCATTTTTTTGCAGCTGCACAAAGAAATCAGCCTCCTGAAGCGAGGCAATAGGTAATACTGAAGGCAAAACGAAATTGAACGAGGGACCTTTGCATGATTTTCATATTCCATCTGATCTTTCTTCATTCTGAGAGCATCTTTCCTTTGATGACGAGGTAGCATATCCAATTCCTGCCTCATTATTTTCATTTCTTTCTTGAGACGCTCCTTGAACGCACGCAAATCTTTCTCCTAGAAAAAATTGACTGAAATAAAATGAATATGATAAAAGTGAGTGCGAGGATTACAATAAGACAGCATGACCAATGTAACTAGATAGGTATCCGAACAAGTGCAAGAAAAAAGGCAGCAGTTTAGGGAACATACAAATCACGTTGGACGTGACAACTTCAAGTCTAACTTGAAAACCTCACAGACAAAGGTGTTGGGGATTATGAAAAAGAAGTCATGGTCCGCGTTTCGGAAATATATTGTGTTCACGTTAGTTAAGCATGCACAATACCCAGAAATTAGAAAGCTCGATACCTGCTCGTATTTTATACGTTTCTGAGCTTGCTTCAGTTCATCTTCCTGTACTTTTTCAGCTTCCTCAATCTCGCGTTTCTGCCTTCTTTCTAAGGTTTCCATATCAATTTCATACTGCCGCGTAAGAACCTTAACATGAACTGCTTTTCTGAACTTCTCCCAGAAAAAAATACACATATTTCATATACACATCCGTCCTATACACACAGTACTGAAAAATACACAGATTTCCTATGCTCACAAAAGCAAGAAATACATCTAAGAAAATAAAGAAACTGGCGTTGGCCGCAGTAAACAGAAGCTTCGAAATATTTTTAAATCGACTATATTGCTGTTACTTAGTTTGCATGTGTTTCTGACATTGAACCTAATAAGAAATAGTGCTGACCAGGGAAGGGTTCAACATTCTATGGAACTTTGAATAGAGACCTAGGTATATCGATTGGGCTTAAGATACTATTTACAAACTGAGAAATTAAAATTGCCAAAGGAGTCTACCAATAAAGTTGAGAGCGCTCAAAGTTTGCATGCTTAAAGCATGGAGAGATAGTGCCAGATGAAATGTGCAGTTGCTCGCAACGACTGCAAGGGTCGCCCTGACACGGGGGCAGGGTTCTCCCCTTCTGGCGAATGATGTGGGTCTGCTTCACGCCGCCGCACCGGTTTTTCAATATGCGCCTTCTTCCAAATGAATACTCTAACACCGTTTCTTGTAAGTAATTAAAGCTAGCGCCCTGTTTCGGCTATCATTTGCGACCACCGTACTTGTAAAAAGGATTTCTACACATTGCTATCACGTTGTATCTGCTTCATTTTTTTGATTCTTCTCTCAGCGTTGGACTTTATACGCGATTTTTTTTCGAAAAATGCCAAAGGTGATTTCACTTGGGTGTGTGCGTCTCAATGTTGAAAACGAACTAGCGCTTCAGGAATAGAGTGGAGAAGCAGTGCGGTGGTCGCAAATGATAGCCGAAACAAGGCGCGAACTTGAATTAGTTACAAAAAACGGTATGACAACATCTACTCGAAAGAAAGCACGTTTGGCAAAACTGTGATGGCGGCAGGAAACAAAACTGCACAGGATCGCCTCAAGAGTGAGAGCACAGTCATTGCGAAACGGCCACCTTGCGACTACTGCGGGCAACTGTGCTGCTTTGAGCATGCAAACTAACTTTGAGCGCTCACAACTTTTTTCATAGACTCATTAGCACTTTTGAGTTCTATATTTGTAAATAGCAATGGAAACTCTATCGATATACCAAGGTCTCTATTCAAAGTTCCTTGAGACTTTGAGACCCTTTCCTGGTGGGATATGTGGATATCTATTAGAAAGTATGACACAGCGCAAAGCGACGGTGAAATATCCAACGCAGCTATCCTATCATTACCATATTATACGACCCGCTCGCGTCTGTCTTTCTGATTGTTTGTCTGTCTGGAAATTCTAAATTATCTGAAGTAACACCTGAGAGGTCGAATCAAGTTTGGAGGGGGATAGGGTAAGAACAACAAAGCACATGTGAGCCTAGCTAACCATAAGCCCCAGCTCCAGGGTGCAGAACATGCGGCGGAGTTTGGTGGTGCTATGGTCAGAAGTTCCGGGTTTGGTCTCACAACAGTCTAGATGCAAGGAAAAAAATTAGCAAACGTGAAGAATCGGTCAACAAATGGAATGAAGGAGACTCACTGGCGGTGGATGGAGCGCTCTCGCAGTAAGTGGCCCTTTCCGCATGGATTTAACACTCGTTCCAACGAAGGCCTAGGGGCCAGGAAAGAAAATAAAAGGAGCGAGCAATGCTTTATGCGCGCCGGGCACGCATAAACTCGGCGAAACTCGGCCCACGATGGGTGTGCGGGTGGTTCAGTGGTTTTCGAATAACTCCGATAATAACGGAGTAAAAATACAACAATTAATATATAAGCGCTGACGTTACCGCTATAATAATACGCAGTAATTTTTAAGAATACTTTACAAAGCAGTCTTACTAGACTTACGTCTTGCTTTGATAATTTGAGGAGGGAAGAGTGCGGACCCACTTAATTCGGGTCCGCTTGACCGCGAACCATTGAGGGGCGGGAGTTCAGCCAGGGAGTCGTCTCAGAGTGAGACGACAAAATAGTTATGAGGATCGTCGCCGTAGACTACGATAATGGGTGAGAGGTGCGTTCAAATGGAACCTAATTTTCAGAAAAATACAGGGTGTCCAAAAGTTAAGGGAGCCTTTTCAGTGCAATGTATTTCAAGCTTTTGTAGCGGAGGATGAAAATGAAATTAGTGTACACGTTCGCTCACATTATGTGCAACAAATAGCTACAATCCTTCGAAATACCCCCTTAGCAAGAATAGAGGCCCAGAGTCTGTTCTCGAACTCCTTGTATGTTACACGCAGGTAAACCTACTCCGATTCTTCCCAACCGTTCATGAATCTTGCTTTCAAAGACTCCAAACTGGAATTGCAAATCGTCAGGTCCTCCTTTATTAAGTGAGCATACGGAGGAGCTAAGTTGCTTGCGATCTGGAGAGCAGGATAGCCATTCCTCCATGCTAATGAAGTCGAGCAGCTCGCGTCACACTACTGTTGACTAAGCTTGGGTCTGTGGGCCGTAGTATCGTTTTTCTGGAAGGACCACGGGCTGTTTCAGGAAGCGGAGTCGGATCAGTGCTTCAGTACGTCCATCAGAATGCTCTCTAAGTACAAATTTTTGTTAATCTCGTGCCGGTACCTACTAAACAAACGGCCACTTACCACTGGCCGTGACTCCCTCAATAATATCATTTTGCTGTTCTTACTACAACTTTGAGGTGGCACTATCGATGTTTTTATCCAAAACGCCATCGCTTTATTTGTCGAGGATTGCTTTTGTCGTGAAAATTTTCTTGTCAAGGAAAACGATGAAGGTATGGCGTGTCCCTACTTGAAGACAATTTTGGGGTATCCGGTTTTTGACGAAAAATGATAGGTACGACCTACAGTAGTACAACGGAAAAGCTTACAACGCGAAAAACGATGCATAAAAGAAATACAAAGCTTCGAAAAAGAAGAGAAAAGGGGGTTGGACGAGTTATACGGCGAGAAAACGGGGTTAAGGGAATTTTCGGGCGAGTAGACGAATGCGACGTAATGTCTGCAATTACAGACACTACGCCCAAACAGCTGATTTTGGCTTCTTCGTTAATATTATTCATTCTACTGCTGATATCATGCTGAAGAGTTGTGCAGAATCAATTCGGCGGGACTTTGAGAATAATTAATTAGAACAGAATAGAGCAGAATATCAGCCAAATAGTAGGAATACAGCCGAATACTATTAACAGTAGGAGGCGGTCGATTAGCTTATTGATTTTTCACTAATGTTGCTCCAATGCGAAAGTGGTGAACGGCAATTAGATTTCGTAGTCAGCTAGTGAGGGGCGGAGGCCGACCGTGCTTCACTCTCCGGCCCCTTATTGTGCCCTATCCAGAACGTTTTTCGACTTCATTCCGGCACATGTGTATCAGAGAGGGCCCCGAATTCATACCACATGCAAATCTCCGAAATCATTTTTATAGTGAACCGTGCCTTTAGGTGAGTTAGCAACCTCCTACATTTTTCATCTCTACACTGTCTATTGAAATCGGAAATGAGATGGCATTCCTGCGCGCGACAGGTATGACAGTGGAGTTTCTGCTTGACAATCCGCCACATCGAATCGACTTCTTCGTTAATCTGCTCAATTGCCTTTCTTTTCATGAGTGACCCAGGATCATGATTGACTCGCACGCGAGCTAACTGAATATTTCAATCTGAGAATACTAGGCTTCCTACTTTTCCCGGTTTGATTGGTTCCGCTTCTACATATGTGTCGTTTAACAGCCTTCTGTACGGTTATTATTGTAATTACGAAAAATTTTACAATGCCCTTCCACCTTTTGCATGCAAATAATTGCTAGTGGCATTGGGTGAGCCTTGACCTTCTAAAGGACATTGGGTAATAGATATTGGGCTCACTTCAGTAATTATGCATACTGCAAGAAAACTTACCTAATGAGATGTATACCGCCGTAGGTGGTTCAAAATGGGGATCTCAAATCCACTTTCCAAATCTTCTAAACGATTCTGGGAACAGAGTTACCGGACCATTTCCTCCCTGTGTTATAGCACCGCGTTGCCTAAATAAGCAAATCGAGGACGTAACCAACCGTGCTACGATGAAGCAGTACGACGGAGGACTCGCAGGACGTTATGGAGCTTTGGATATTTGATGCGTATGCTCGCTTTGCTTTTTGTGAAAATGTCTCCTAAACGCTTGCAAATACTTCTACGCTTCATATTCACCACCTACCATCTACAGACTCCCCTCACCTTTGAAGAACAGCGTAAGGCACTTCCGAGGAAATTTTTCTTGCTCCCCACTGTTTGTGTAACATGGGTGCATTTCAAGTGCAGTGAAGTTTGGTTCCTGTGCCGAAGTGCCAGCACCATCAAGGGAGGGACGACAGGTGACAGATATCTTTTTGTCTATATACGGATGCCCCATATGACAACCTCGTTGTCGACTGCGAAGAGGACGATTGCATAGGAGAAGATCACAGTGATCTCCTCTTGTCAGCAGATGATAGCGTCGACGACGAACGCCCCGGCAAATCCAATGAGGAAAATTCGTACCTTCTTGGAGATATGGAGCCTCGTCCCTCGTCCCTTCTGATTGTCGATTCATGAAGCTCATTCAAGGACCATGAATCAATTCAGGGTGCTTTATCAGCTGGCAAGGCGGTGAAAGTGCTCAACATTCCGCCTCGAGCAACATCCCAAATTCAGAATCTCGAAGTATATTTCTTCTTGCCATTCAAAGCCATGTTCAAACGTATCGTGTCCTATGTTATCGCTCATGACCTCAATTTCCAAGTGAGTAACCGCGTCTCCATAGTTCGCCTTGTCTCATTAGTGCACTTCTAGTTTAGCGCACCTAGATTTAAAAATCTTCTATCTTCTCGTGGTTTGCAGCAGGCTACTTGGATACGAATCCGGAAGAATTGGAAAGCCCTGTACAATATTGTTTTTCATCCCACCTGGACGGTGACTGTGAGAGTGATTGGGCGATGGACTTTATACTTACGTTGCGAGAAAAGAAACATTGTGAGAAACTTTTCTGCTCTAACACTCTGTATGTATTGAACTATCACATGTGTACATAAATTGCTCACCCATTGTCCAATTGTTCCGACAGCTCTTTTCTTTTTTTCTCTGTAAAAACGTCGATTGAACGTACTGGCTCATTTTTGGTCAAGGATAAGGTATTGCTTTAACAAGGAGTATTTTGGTCAGATGAGCATCGAATGTGCATGGAGCTTCGCAATTCATTTTGAGTGTTCGCGATAGGACTGCACCCATGTCCCGTGCGTGGTGGTAACAGAAAACTTCCATTGTATTACTCTTTTCAGTATTCCTCCAATGCGAGGGATGTCTTTAGATGAAGGATATGAAGCGTAGAAGCATTTTGCAAGCGTTTGGGAGTTGTTCCTCTTTGGGAGTTGTTCCTTGGGGAAGCAAAACGAGCGCAAGCATCACGGATCCCAACCTTCATAGCCATTCTGGGAGCCCGCCATTGTACCAACAGCTCCATCGCTGCACAGTTGGTTATGTTCTCGAAAGGGGAGGAAATGGTAACGGAACTCTGTCCCAGAATCGTTTAGCAGATTTAGAAAGTGGATTTGAGATCCCCATCTGGAAACAGCTACGGCGGTATACATCTCATCAAGTAGGTTTTCTTGCAGTATGCATAATTACTGAAGTGAGCCCGATATCTTAGATGGCCACTGCGATCTAGTATCCCTCCCTTGCTAGAGCTAGAGTATTCAAACTTCCCGTGTTCGGGCGACAAGATGGAACCTAATGGCAGGCGACAGAACTGGGTCCGCCCCGGAAGGGCGTGGCATACGCAAAAATTGCCTCTTGGAGCTAGACGTTCGAATTTGGAAAGAACACAGGTGGCAGAATGGAACACCAATGGCAGGTGACGGGTGCAAACTACGTCTACAGAGAGGGGGGCTGTGAGCCATGCGCGAAAATGTTCCTTCAAACGAGGACGTTTGAATTTGAAATATATACAGTAGGCAGAATCGAGAAACCTGACGGTAGGTGATAAGGTAACTGAGCTAGACTGCGCTCGCGGAGGGGGAGGGAAGGAGCGAGGGAGAGAGCGGGTGAGCGGGGCGTGGTCAAAATAAGCTTAAACTGAGTAGAAATACACAGCCAATTGGAATAGAAAAAGAATGAAATATATAAAGTTATCTAAGCATGCATGACTTGAACAGACATGTCGAACTTATCTAAACACGCACAAACACGCCGAAACCGCACATGGCGGAAGGTTTCGGCGTGTTTGTGCGTGTATGTGTGTGCGTGTGCGTGTGCGTGGTGTGTGCGTGATTAACCAGTATTTCACAACCCCATTCTCTTGGATCAGAGTGTCAAAATTTGGAAGGGATACAGGTGGCACATCAAGTGTAACACGAAAAAGAGAAGGCGAGTCGGCTGAGTGGAACTGACAAAAAATTATTAACCGCTCTTTCCTGCTGGAATTTTCGCTCTTGCTGTTCCACTGAATTAACACCTTCGACCTGCAATTCTTGCCTTTGTCGCGCCTCCTCACGCTGGAGGCGACGCAAATCTTGAAGTTGTTGCTTCCTAAAAAACTCTATCTCAGATCACTGGCTATAACATGTGCTTAATGCAGAATACATTAACCTCAACTGCATGTCTTCCTTCGCACCAAGCACATGCATCGTTGTTGATGTAACCTGCATGCCATTTACAGTGTATGTACGCGTCTTCTTCGTTACCGTTTGTCGGTGGGGATGCTTCCGGACCGCAAATGTCGTCGTGCACAACTCCTCCTAGGCAAAAACAGATGTGACAGGAAAAGATGACAAGGCCTATTGAAACATGGACTAACCGAAGTACTAAACTTAACACCATCTTGAACATTTTGCGACGCAAATGGAAATGTGCCTTTGCTTGCATTTGCAGCTGGTGGGGCACTTTCTTCAATGTTATATAGTTTTTATACAAGAGAAGTCATGACTAGATTCGTCAAATAGACTAGAGCTACTCGTAAATAAAAGGGAGACCTTCGGAATTCAGTTGGTTATGGTAGTCCACCGGCGGTTCCGGAGGAGCCTTTTTTTCAGCAGGTGACGGCGGAGAAAACTAGCGGAACTCAAGTAAACATTCATTAAACAAGTTTAAGTATGAAAACTCACATATATGGTCCTAGTATTTTGTTCAGCAAGAAAAGATTTATAGGAGCTGCAAACATTTCTGTCTCGTGGCGCTTCCTTATCAGATGCTGGAGCAGAGAAGTGTAATGGTGGCTCCGTTTTCCATTTTTGTACGCCAGGCAGAGAAAGAGATGACGGTAGGCTGGGCTTAGGTGGAACGAACTTGCTTTTCAAAGAATTCGAACGTGTGAAAGTTCTATAAAAATGCTATTAACATGGGTTATCCAGAATCAAAGTTGCCTGAAACGAACTTGTGCGGTTTGCCACTCTGCACATGCGGATGCGACCATTTACTGATGGCCAACTCAGGTATTGACATAAGAAGAGCTGCATGTGCAGTAGGAACAGTGCTTGATAACTAAATCGAAGAATGTATTGAAAAAAACATCATCTAACAACTAACAACATCATCGAAATGTCTGATGCTGTGAACGCGCCCTAAAGAGCCATCTTGGCCTTTGACTAAGGCTTCGGACGGATGAGCGTACTGCTAGAATTGAGATGCACAGAATGCAGTACCACGAAAAGGAAACACCCTAACAAACGATCCACTACGAGTTACAAAGTGTCAATATGTAAAAAAATATGAGCACTGCGAAGAGATAAGAGCTACGCAACATAGCAGTCAAACTAGCAGGAATAGCTGAATAACTATCTTCAGCATTCACATGAGGGCTGGAACTTTACTCCTATTGCGTCCTTACCAGAGATGAAAGGGGAGTAAGTGCGAGAACTTTCCAGTGACAAAGTTCTTATGAGAGCAGTCTGAGAAGTCGGCAATTCAGTTGATATCAAAGTTCCTGTGATAGCGTTATCATGTTGATACAAATATAAAGTTGGTGCCGATCAATGCCGTACTCTCGCCCATTCATTCGATTCCCATTCAGAATCGTAATGTAGTTAGGAGAAGTAAATGTGTTATACAATGAATTGGCATGCATAGCAGATGCATAATTTGGTGCGGTCGTGCTTTCGGCTGACTTCCAAATACTTTGGCTGGCGTGCGCGGTGGTAAATGACAGACAGAAAACGAGAATATGCCACGTGGCCACGCATAGCCGATGACCCTGATGTCTAGTTACCGCCAACATTGCGTCGTCCTTCCTCCTGCCGAATGTACCACACGACTTTGGCTCCAACCGCAGTCCCAACTTGCATTGCCGCATCTCCTCTGCTTCAATCTAATAAGCCGAGCTAATGAGATGGCAGTGATCACCGACGCAAGAAAGAACTCGGAACACGACTCACAGCCAATACGGATGGTCTTGGATGCCAAAGTACCGCAAGAGTTTGGATGTCTGGGTGGGTTGTAATAATCTTGAGTAGGGACCCAATTCCACAGTAGGTTCAATGTGGAATGTGGTTTATATTCCCATGTTCTTAAATACATTTATTTGTTGAGTTATTTTTAGCAGTTCTCTACTTCATTATTTGTTCGCGCATAATTAATCATTAGTTTTTCTCACTCATTCGCAGTATAATAGTTATGTAATTATATAGTTGTCCCTTGTTTTTGTATGACTAACATCTAGTCATTCAATTCCTTGTAGCACTGCCTTTTGCGTAGGTACTCGAGGGTAGACGCAGGCCCAGGCTCAGACACAGGTCCCGTGCGTGGAGGAGGGACAAGTCGCCTTAGTGGTACAG